TTTTTTTAAATATATCTTTATTGACTTCAGGGAGAGGACAGGAGAGGGAGAGAGAGATGTAGAAACATCAATGATGAGAGAGTCATTGATCGAGCCCACAACCCGGGCATGTGCCCTGACCGGGAATCGAACCTTGATCCCTGGATCCTAGGTCGACGCTCAACCGCTGAGCCACGCCCGGCCGGGCAAGTTGCGTCTGTCTTGATGCTGTTTTACTCACTGGTGTTTATTTCCGAGAGTTGGGATAGAAAGGGGGCTTGCGTGCACGGTTGTGCGGCTCCCGGGAACCCGCAGCCACTTGCCAGAGGCTCCCCAAGCCCTTTCAATGTGAGTTTGTCTGAAGTACCAAAAGTGCATTTTGTGAAAAGATTGTGTCTCTCTGTGCTCAGCTGTCCCGTGACCTGGCCCGGTTAAAGGCGCACTATGAGGCAAAGATGAGGGCGTTGGTGGCCAGCACAGTGGGCGTGGTAGAGATTCAGCAGCTAAAGCAGAAGCAGGAGCTGCAGGTAGTGTGGGTCCCTCCCCCGCTGCGTCGACCAAGCGTGTCCAAGGCCCAGGCACGGCTCCGCTCGGCCACACTCACTAGAACCTGGTTCTCGGAGTCGGCCTAGGGGCTTCGGGGCCCCACCCAGATGCTCGCGGCAGGCTCCTGTCACTCCCGCTGTCATTTGCCTTTCCTCCTGTCCTCTCTCACGGGCAGAGGCCTTTCCGGAGGCTCCTCCTCTGTGACATCACAGCCGGTCGGAGGCAGATCCAGCCGTCGTAGCCCAGACGCGGGGAGGGTGCTTAACATGCACAGAAGGACACCTGTTTTTTTTTTGCTTTGGAAAATACAATAATTTTTCCTAAATGTGTTAGCTAGGATAACATAATAGGTTTATTATTACTTTTCAATGAATATTAATTAAAAATATTCAAAATTTTTCTCCATTTTAACTCACCATGCAGTAAATACAGATAAATAAAATCTAGGTAACGGTGACTCGCTGGGGTCCCCATCATTTTCATGAGCAGAAAGGGGTCCCGAGACCGGAAATGTGAGAACTGCTGGGTTTGGATGTGGTGATGGCCAGTTCCTTGCAATGTGGTTTTTTGTTTTTGTTTTTAATTTTATTATTGTTTAAAATGTTACAGATGTCCCTTTTTCTCCCCAATGACCCGTTCCACACTGTTCCTTAGGCCACTGTCACCTGAAGCTTCCTTCACTTGGGTCTTCCCTTCTCATGTCCCACGACCTGCGCCTGTGTGTCGAGTGGTGCTTACCTGGCAGTAGACACCTGTGTAGAAACACCTGCTGCTGCTCTGTGCCAGAGTGTCTGTGCTCCGGGCGCTGGGGCAGGAGCAGAGCCCCCGAGTCAGTGTGTTTTGCTCAGTTCAGGGTCAATATCTGGGCAGAGGGTCCATCCCTAGGCTAATCCGGGGTCCTCTGGGTTTTCCAGGCAGCCCAGAGTGCAGCCGTCGGGAGCATGTGGAGGAGACCAGCTCCTGTGAGCAGCCTGGGGCAGGTGGATGGTCAGAAGTGGCAGGGCCAAGGGATGTGGGTGCTTGGGCAGCCTGAGCGATGTGGGCAAGTGCTTGAGGGCCAGCTGGCAACGCCCTCCTCTGGCCAGACACGGAGCGGCTTCTTGTCCTCTTGGCTGCTCTGTGTCCCCCTTCAGTCCCTGGGCCCAGCGTCTTGGCCCCTTCCCCTGGGGTGAGCCTCAGACTGTGGGCCTAGGACGAGAGGAGGCGTAGCTGCCAGGTCTGGGGGAAGAGAGAACATGGGTCTGGGGTTGGGGAGGCAATGGCAGGGCCGTGGAGAAGGGAGGCCGCAGGATGGCAGGGGTGTGCCGGTCCTTAGGATGCACGGTTTGGGTTGGAGGGATGCAGGATCCACGGAGCCTGGGTGGCTGCAGTGTTGATGAGGTTGCACAGGGTGGTCCTGCGCTGACGGAACTGGGTGGGTCTCACTGGGAGCTGACGTGGTTTGGTTTCAGTGAGTTGAGCGTGGTCTTGGTGGACATTTTTGGGAAGCTCCTTAGGTACAGGGAAATAAAGGGCTGGAGCTACAGTGTGTGACATCACCTGGGCGCTGCTCCCCAGGGGACAGCGGGAGCAAACTGCTCACACCCACACCCGAACCCGAACCCGAACCCGAACCCGCAGGCACAGCTGCAGCCCTGGTGGATGCGAAATGCCAGCTGCTCCGCACTCAGGCTGCTGCACCAGCAGCAGGGTCATTGGTGGGCAACACCCTGCACAGTGCACAGCGGGGGCCCTCGGTCCCATCCTGGGTGCCGGCAGGAGGTCAGGCGGAGCCGGGAGGAAAGAGCCGGCAGGGGAGCCAGCGGAGGTACCAGAACCTCTCTCTGCTCAGATGGGGGTGGCCAAGGTTGGAGAGGTCTCCTTGAAGGGACTGGATTGTCTCCTACGAGGCCATCTCTGGAAGAAACACTGGTTCCCAATGGCCAGCACCTCAGACATTGAACCTTTAAAGAATCAAATGCTTTTGATGGCCAGCCTGGGGCTGTGGCTTGAGGAAACCGGTCATTGAAGTGCAGGTCAGGGGAGTGGTCTGTGTGACTGTGTCTGCAGAGGAGTGGAGATGGCTCTGGTCCTGCCCTCGGTCGTCCCTGCCTGTCCCTCTGTCTCCAGTCACTTAGTTCCTTCTTGCCATTCGAATGGGTGCAGGTGCTCCGTGCGGTGGGGGCCCTGTGAGCCCCGACTTGGCTCCATGCTCCTCAGGTGGACACTGGGGCGTCCAGGGCTGCTGGGCAGGGCAGGTGTCTGGTCAGGTCTGCCCTTTCCCAGGATGTGCCATTTACCACCTGTGGGCTTCTGCATCTCCACCTGCCAGGTCTGCAAAGCCGTCTGTGTTTGTCAGTAATCTAATAAAAGTAAGACTGAGTTTTAAATGTTGCAGGAAGTTTTATAACCATGTCAAAGAAGGGGTCTGTAGGTAAAGTTTGTTTTTCCCTTTTTTTAAAAAAAAAAATCCCCCCAGAACAGCCCCAAACCACACACATGACTCACACCAGCCAGGAAAGTGCTCCCCAGTCCAACAGCCAGTTCCAGGCGCCTTTTCAAGACCAGACTCCTCGACAGTGTCCTTTTAAAACAAATGAAACGCGGCCGGTGGATTTGTACCGCATGCCCCCTCCTCACGCTCTCGCCTTTCCCAGATGCAGAAGCTCATGAAGGCTGCCAAGGAGGGCACCCGGGACGGGCTGGAGAAGACCAAGGCCGCCGTGAAGCGAGGACGCTGCTTCATCAGGACCAAGTCCTTCATTTCTCAAGGTGTGCGGCTCGCAGTCCCGCGCAGGTGGCCCCGCTGTGCCGCCTCGAAGCTGGCGGGCAGTTCCTGAACCCTGAGCAGGCCCCCGCTCTGCCTGTGCCAGCCTCCGGCGGGGGCTTTGTGAGCTGAGGGCCGGGCTCTGAGCGGTGGGGACCTGCTCACGGGCACGCTCCCAGCGGCAGAAAGTGGCGTGAACTCTCAGGGAGCGGACTTACCTCTCATTGTTGTCCGCTCGGAGCCCTGGGCGGCAGTGCTCCCATCCTCCCACCCCAAGGGGCCTTCACCCGCTGCTCTCCCTCCCGTCGCCCCCCCCACAGTCTCCAGGGACCTGGTGCCCAGGGAGGGGCGCCCTGTGGGCAGGGCCCAGGGTGCAGGGCTGGGACACGGGCCCACGTCCAGTATTTTCTGGTTCCAGCTGTTTTGTGGAATCGTTAGTTTATTCAGCTCTAAGTTTGTAAAGAAGAACCTAGTTTTGGCCTAAACTTTCTGATTTGGGGACTTGTGCTTTTTTCAGGCCTGTGGAGGGGCAGGCAGATGGTCAGGAAGCCCGGGAAGTCCCCCAAGTGTCCCTGGCTCTCAGTTCCTTTCCGCCACCACTCCTTGTTTCTGGTTGTGAGATTTGATTTGATTTTTACTTACTATTTTTAATCCTCACCCAAGGATACGTTTTTTTTTATTTTAGAGAGAGGAAGGAAGAGGGAGAGAGAGGAACTTCGATGTGAGAAACACTGATCAGTTGCCTCCCTCACGCACCTGGTCCAGGAATCGAACCCGCGACCCTTTAGTGTAAGGACCACACTCGACCAACTGAGCCACCTGGCCAGGGTTGGTTGTGATATTTTATAGATTAAAATGGAAATAATTTCTAGTTTACCGTCCAGGCATTCAAATGACACCTCTGCCCTTTGAAGTCAAATTTCAAGGACTGAAAAATTTAAAAACCACAAGCACTGCTCTCGTGGGAGGGGTGTCTCGGGGTGCGGACGTTTCTCCTCGGTCGTCGCTGGTGGGAGTGAACGCGGAGACCTGGGAGAGGTGCCCGAGCCCCGACTGCCAGCTGATTTCACTGCTGCGATGTCGGGAGACACTGCCCCGTCACACCCATGCGTCTCAACTCTTTGCAGATCATAGGCCTGGTCTCGAAGAGGAGCAGAGCTTGTTCATCGACGTGGACTGCAGGCACCCGGAAGCTGTCTTCACCCCGATGCCCGAAGGCCTCTCTCAGCACCAGGTAGGACGCTGGGCAGGTCCTTGGGTGCCAGTTACCGGTGCAGTTTAGCTGCCATTTGGTGTCTGAATGTTTCCACACCTGCCATCCCTGCTCCCGGCCACTGGCTCCTCCCCCGGCCTCCTGGTCCGGCAGGTAAAGGGTTAGCGCCGCAGAGGCCCACGGGACCCTGGTAAGAGGCAGGACTCTGGGTTCAGACGTTCTGGTCCTTAAATATTTTGATTTCTTTTTTTAAAAAAATATATCTTTATTGATTTCAGAGAGAGGACAGGAGAGGGAGAGAGAGAGAAACATCAATGATAACAGAGTCATTGATCGAGCCTGCAACCCGGGCATGTGCCCTGACTGGGAATTGAACCCCGATCGCCTGGATCCTAGGTTGACGCTCAACTGCTGAGCCACGCCTGGCTGGGCTGGTCCTTAAATATTCTGAGTGTCACTCCCAGTGTAACTCTGAGAAATGTGGGGACTTACATTCTGTGGGAGTTACTTACCCTGGTTCGTAATGATGGGATGGTTTTACAGAGACCGTGTGCGGGTGTGTAACGTGTGTGGGAGACTTCATTGGTTTTATTTCTGCATTTTTATTAAATTGTCTTATACCAATTCCAGTTCCTTGGATCCAATACATTAGGATTATCTCAGGACTTTAGAAAAATAAATATAATTCCTAGATTAGACCCCAAATAGTCTCCCTTCAAGACTTGAGGTAATGTCTGGGATCTGAACGGTGGGGGAAGGCTGGCCTAGATTTGACCCTCTGCCAGGTTGGGAGGTGGCTCAGCCCTGGGGTCTAACTCCCATTCCAAGGGATGGTCTATGGCGGGACTGGGTTGTGACCCAGCCAGGGTGACGCGGGGCGCGGGTGCTGGCCTGGGCTGATGGGCTCACGTGCTCGGGCTCTAATCCCAGACACAGCCCTCCTTTCTTAAGCATATCACTTTCCTCAAGTATTCAGAGGGTTGATTTTGGTCTTAATTTTGTGAATTGATTAGTCCTCTGTGTAAAGGAAAATCCGCTCCCTTGTCAATAACGGTCTGTAGCCCTGTCGCTCTGGCTGTTAACTGGAGGCACTTCCTGCGGGAGGTGCTGTTCCTGCCACTAGGTGGCGCCGTGGCCTCTGCGAGGGGTGTGCCCTTGCCTGGGGTGCGGGCTGGGGCGTGTGAGTGTGTGTGGGCACGTGTGTGCCTGTGGGTTAGAACCAGCCTGATTGTGAATTTATGCTCTGTTTTCCACTTACTGGCAAAAATAACTGCCAAACTGTTTAGGCTCGATGGCAGAGCCTAGTATCCTCACTGACTTTAACAGGCATCTTAGGGCCAGAAGCTCGTGCTCGTATGAACTTCAGTGGTGAAACCTGGACCAAAAACCGGTGTCGGTGTTTAAAACGCGGTGTCTCAGGTTGCAGTGAGCTCTGCACCTGGAAATGACATTGGCAATTTGCTCACCATGTTCTCCGCCCTGAGGGTGCATCTCTGCCTGGTCAGAGATCGTCGCAAAAAAATTGTGGTCCTCACCTTCCAGGACCACAATTTTTCTGTAAATTTGGAACAGTGATTTTATTAGACAGGTGCTGCCAATAGCTTCTTTGAGTCAGGATGAGCTATTTACACACAAAACATGTAATTCAGTGTTGGGCATGTAAATAACAGGTAGTTACTTCTCTCGTTATTGTTGCCTCAGTGGATGAATCGATTTGTTATCAGTGCTGTGGTTCCACGGGTCCTGCTGTTGCTACAGTTTATAACTTGAGGTTTAAAGATTGATACAACTGTAGCAGCAGGAGAAGCATGCTTTGTGCCCGTAATGCTAGTTAGTTAACACACCATTTAAAATGTTTTAGAGGCCCCTGGAGGCTTCATTTACCTACTATCTTGAAAACAAAAAAATTCTTTACCAATGAGCCTCAAATAGAAGTGACATTTATCTGTATGAAGTTCTTATCGTTGTATTTTCAAATTCCAACAGGTGGTCAGAAGATATATTCTGGGTTCAATTGTGGACAGTGAGAAGAACTACGTGGACGCCCTCACGCGGATCCTGGAGGTACCGAGCACCCTGCCCTGGAATGTACACACGCTTCACTGACCTTCCCACACACATGTTGTTGTTATACATATATGAGTCATAAAATACTCAGTTTTGCAGAATTTTCAAAAGAATTTAAATATTGTGCCTGTATATGGAGGCCCAAAGTCCAGTGATGTCAATAAAAAATTTACAGAAAAGCCCTGGCCAGTGTGGCTCAGTGGTAAGAGCACCAGCCTGTGTACCGAAGGGTCTTGGGTTTGATTCTGGTCGAGGGAATGTACCTGGGTTACAGGCTCAGTCTCTGGCCCTGGTCGGGGTGCGTGCAGGAGGCAACCGGTCGCTGTTTCTCTCACATTGATGCCTCTCTCCCTCCCTCTCCCCCCACCTGCCCCTTTCCCTCCACTCTAAGAAAAATCAGTGGAAAAAATATCCTTTGGTGGGGATTCCCCCCCTCACACACACACACTCTTTACAGAAGAAAGTCAGGCACAAGCGAATCAGCGTGGTGAGTAGTGAGCATTCTTGTCACGTCTCCCAGGACACGGGCTGCTCCCCTCGGGCACAGGGCGCTGACCTGCCACTGAGGCGCCTGGTGCCCGGTGCTTGTCTGGACAAATGTATGTGCAGAGAATGTCCGCAGGCCAGTCCTGACCCTCACCGTTCAGACTGGTGAGACCTACTTGTCATTTACAGCCAACCTGGTTACCAAGGGCTCTTTCATCTCTACCTTTAAATCTGACGTAATCACTGAAAAATAAAACACTTCAGGCTGCTGAGACGGTTCCCATCTATAGGAGCATGTTAATAAATGTCTTTTAATCTAGGAAATAAGACCAGTGGTGTGTGTTGGGGTGAGTGTGACTCACGCAGTCAGTTTCTCCACGTTTCCCGCTGTCTTCTCCCTCCCCAGCAGTACGAGCGGCCGCTGGCGGAGATGGAGCCGCGGGTGCTGAGCGACCGGAAGCTGAAGGTGGTCTTCCACCGGCTCCGGGAGGTCCTGCAGTGCCACCGCCTGTTCCAGATGGCGCTGGCCAGCCGCGTGGCCGAGTGGGACTCCGTGGAGATGATCGGCGACGTCTTCGTGGCCTCTGTGAGTGAGCGGCGGCCCCGTCGTGAAGTTCATCTCGTGAAACATCCCAGTGACTGAGGCTGTTTGCGATTATTTGAGCTGGGACGGGACCCCTGTGGACCCCGCGTTGCTCACACCTTTCATGTCTCTGGTTCCAGTTTTCCAAGTCCATGGTGCTGGACGCCTACAGCGAGTATGTGAACAACTTCAGCACGGCCGTGGCCGTCCTCAAGAAAACTTGCTCCACGAAGCCCGCGTTTCTGGAATTTCTAAAGGTAAGAAGCTTCCCCCCCCCCCCTTTTGGGTTTTAACATCTCTGAAAACAGATCCCATGTCGCAGTACTTGATGATAAAACTTCACACAACCTCGCCGCTGAGTGTGCAGTGTGATGCGTTGTAAAGATTGTGGCACCAACAGCACCCTGGGTATTGGATCAGTGCAAACAGTGAAGGTGAATTTTTAGGGGTAACATAGCTTTTATTTTTATTTTTTAATTTTTTTAATATGTCTTTATTGATTTCAGGGAGAGGAAGGGAGAGGGAGAAGAGGGAGATAGAAACATCAATGGTGAGAGTCCCTGACCGGCTGCCTCCTGCAGGCCCCCGACTGGGGATCGAGCCCACAGCCCGGGCACGTGCCCTGACCGGGACTTGAACCTCGATCTCCTGGATCGTAGGCTGATGCTCAACTACTGAGCCACGCTGCTGGGCAGTAACATAGCTTTTAAAAATAACCTTTACGTGCCCAACCTTGACAGTGTGCGGTTGGCGGCATGACCAGGTGGAAAGTTAAGGTCGGCCCCGGAGGCGGGATGTTGGACCCCAGAGGTAGCGCTGGGAGGGATGGAGCTGCCTGTGGCCCTGGGTCAGAACCTGAGCAGCCCACGAGGAGGCGCCCGGGCCGGCTGCTGTCAGGCGGGAGGCCCCTGCTCGGGGACGTCCGGCAGGGAAGTCATGCCCAGGACCCCAGATGGCTGTGGACGTGTGAGATCTGAGCAGCAGCAGGCCCCCCTGCCCCAGACTGGGACGTAGACGTGACAGGAGAGCTCGCTGTACGTTGAACCAAGTTAAATTCCCCTTCAAACACTGTGGCCGTCCACTGGGCCGGGTCTCATTTCCGTGAGGCTCACTTTGCCTCGTAAAACCGTAGACCGAAGTTTGTTCCTGCTACTGAATTGGACTCTTGGAAACTCCTGCCTCCTGTGGTGAGCGACGTGGGGAGACATTCTTGCCGACCACAAGGCTTTAGTTGAGCCGAAATATCTCCCTCGCCCTCCTTTCTCATCTCACGCGGGCTCCCACGCTGCAGGAACAGGGTGGGTGGCCAGGCTGGGTTTCTGGGAGATTAAACCTACCCCAGCTTTGCAGAGCTGAGGTCCTCTGATGTCTTTCTCTCGGGAAAGAAAACACGGTGATTCTCCCGGAGCCTCTCCTGGGGTCGCTTGGCCGGAACACGACATCGGGGACAGTCCCGTGACTCTCCCCACCCAGAGCTCAGCTGAGAGCCGGGTTCTGCCCCACGTGGGCAGGATGAGCGGTGACGCCACAGAGACTCCGCGGTGCTGGCTCGGCGGCCTCCCGGCCCTTCAGCTCCAGCTCGGGAACCTGTGGACTGTTCTCCATCCCTGTGCCTCCCCCGTGGCTGCAGAACCTCAGGAAGGAGCTTGGTCCTTAGGTTACTGAGACAGACTCACAAACGGACGAGGCTGCCGAGCAGTCAGAGAGCTCTTAGCACACGGAGTCGGCCGGCCGGAGGTTCCAGCTCAGAAACCGGCCAGATGCTCTGTGGACCAGGGGACGTGAGGGCACCTCAGGCACGGGAGGGGGATCTGAGGGGATCTGAGGGGATACGAGGGGGATTTTAGGGGACAGGAGGTGTATCTGAGGGGATACGAGGGGGATTTTAGGGGATAGGAGGTGGATCTGAGGGGATACGAGGGGGATTTTAGGGGACAGGAGGTGGATCTGAGAGGATACAAGGGGGATTTTAGGGGACAGGAGGTGGATCTGAGAGGATACAAGGGGGATTTTATGGGACGGGAGGGAGATCTGAGGGGATAAGAGGGCGATTTTAGGGGACGGGAGGGGGATCTGAGGGGATAAGAGGGGGATTTTAGGGGACGGGAGGGGGATCTGAGGGGATAAGAGGGGGATTTTAGGGGACGGGAGGGGGATCTGAGGGGATAAGAGGGGGATTTTAGGGGACGGGAGGGGGATCTGAGGGGATAAGAGGGGGATTTTAGGGGACGGGAGGGGGATCTGAGGGGATAAGAGGGGGATTTTAGGGGACGGGAGGGGGATCTGAGGGGATAAGAGGGGGATTTTAGGGGACGGGAGGGGGATCTGAGGGGATAAGAGGGGGATTTTAGGGGACGGGAGGGGGATCTGAGGGGATAAGAGGGGGATTTTAGGGGACGGGAGGGGGATCTGAGGGGATAAG